GAAAGAAAAAAAAAGATCTGGTGTGAAAATTTCAGACAGCCAGAAACAACCTGTCCCCGAGGTTTTATGCACCCCGCATAATCTAGTAAAATTTGATCATTTTTGTGCGCATAATTTCTGATTATTTTCATTTATCATGCTTTGTTAAAATTAACAGAATCGCATAATTTCCTATTTTTGGGCTCAGTTTGCATAATTTCAGAATTAAAATTTTTTTTGGCCAAAAACCGCGGGGACAGAACAACAGAGAGAAAGTAAAGAAGTGGGACTTACCGGTGGCGCCCTCTTGAGAAATACAACAACACAATTATGGTCAGCTAGTGCAGGGAAAAAGTGAGACAGACACAGAAAGACACAACAGAGGGAAAGTAACGAAGTAGGATTTACCAGTGGGATCCTCCAACCACCCGCTATGATCATTTAGTGCTGTGAATAAGTAAGACAGACAGACAGACAGAGAGACCGATGACAGACAGACAGACAGACAAACAGACAGACAGACAGACAGAAACAACAGAGGGAAAGAAAAGAAGTAGGACCCACCAGCGGTGCCCTCCAACCACCCGCTGTTGTTTGAGTAAGTAGAAGTACATCGACAAAATAATGTTTATTTAGTGCTGTGAAAAAGTGAGACAGAGAAATAACAGAAGGGAAGTAAAGACGTAAGACCAATCAGTGACGCCCTCGAACCACCCGCAGATAGTAGTTGTTGAGGAATTGTAAGCTTCCAGCTAGCTAACTAGCATTAGTTTAGTTCAAGTACATAATGTAAGAGTTTTACGTCACTTGAAACAGAACTCGGTCAAGTAAGCGCCGACGATTAGATGTGTTACAAGAGAGTAAAAAAACACAAAAAAGGGAGGTGGAAAAAATCAGGACGATAGATACATTAATTTTGTTGATAGGAAAGAAGGTGCAAACCACACCAGCGCACCCGCCGACCACCTGCTAATAATAGGTCATACAATATAAGGGCAGAAAATTGGAATTGTTACTGGAGGGTAACATACATAGAAAAGATAAAAGAGGGATAAAGACGACAGAAGTTGTATAGGAAATAAGGAGCAAACCGCACAAGAGCACACGTCAACCACCTGCCCGGTCAGAATCATAATGACCACATTTCACCACGAAGAAATAATGACTCAATAACAGAACCACTGAGAAGAACGAGAGACAGCAAAGCATCCACCAATCGTCCGCTATTTTAGCGTTACGGCACAGAGTCAAAGTCAAACAGAAAGCACATTATGTTACCTAGTCAACCTATGTGTGGGCTTGTGAACTTTGCGTCGGAATTAGATTTCAACCATTTCACTGTTAGACTTAGGCAATAATGATAATAATCCAACTTGACAGCTCAAGACAGCGCTGGGCCTGACAGAGAAGGAGTTGAATTCCAATGGAGGAACCCCCCCCCATTTCCCCACTTTAAAAAAACAACTGGGAATGTGAGATGAAAAACACCAACAACACATAACGAGGTTGCTTTTCGAAGTCTTGTGTAAAAAAAATAATCAGCTAACTTAATAAAAATATAACTGACAGGGGAAGAATGGCTTTAAAAATAATAAAAACATTCGTTCTTTTGGTTTGGTTGGGTTTGTTTTTGGCAGGGTTTTTGTTGTTGCCGTTGTTGTTGTTGTTGTTGTTGTTGTTGTTGTTGTTGTTGTTGTTGTTGTTGTTGTTGTTGTTGTTGTTGTTTTTTGGAGGGGGGGGTTACAATTTTTTAAAGGCGGACTCGGGATAATTTAAAAATCTGCAGAAATAATTGTGTCTGAGAGTGTGTGTGTGGGGGGGGGGGGGGGGCAAAAAAGTACTAGACTACACTGAAATCGACAAACTAATTCCACGAAATATGGCTTACAAATGTGTGAATACAATCATACATGACATGTCTACTTAAACAAAGAATTCAATTATACACGCAAAGAATATCTTATGAAATATTTACCACAATACACAAAGTCACACCAATACAGACACTTTGACTAATTAATCACGCCATTGCTGGTCGCCACTGTACACATCCAGGATACCATCCACCCGCCCAAAACGCCGTGTCACCGACGTGTGCTTGACATTACTGTGAGCACGAGCCCACAACCAGTTCGGCCACTGGATCCCTCATGTTTGGTTTGGTTAACTTAAAAGAAGAAAACCGACAATAACGGCCATTTCGAGCAGGAAAAGAACAAGATGGACCTAAAGACGCCATGAAAAGAAAGAACAGATGTAGGACTTACCGGAGGTACCCTCTTTCCATGGGAGCACGACTAGGACAGGGGCATCAAGGGAAAAGAGGCGATGCTTACTGGTAATTGCAATGGAAAAAAAAACCCCGTCACATGAGACTACAAAAACGTGTAGGTCACGAAAGTAAGAATGAATTGTGGTCATTTCCTGTTTCTCAACATGCTTCAAACATTACGC